TGGATGGATGGATGGATGGATGGATGGATGGATGGATGGATGGATGGTTGGATGGATGGATAGATGGATCTAGTCATTTTCCTCTTCATTTGTTGTTAAAAATAATTATTTTAATGCCTCGGTCTATATTTTCTGTACGTACAGAGTGTATGTTACACCAGACGGGCATCTTACGCTGTTATTATTGAACTTTATCTAAAAACGAATACCTACGTTCGTCTCCTAATGATAGGTCTTATTCTGAAAGCACTGGCCGGAAGTTCCACATTTGCCGCTTTGCTTCATACTACCAGCAATAAGGCACACAAAAGCACCGTTCGTGGAAGTTTGGGACAATAACCCCTTTTTTTGTAACTAAGGGGCTTTTTCGTACAAAGTCAAATTGAGATACTGTAGTATCATCAAATTGTTTACAGGAGTAGGCTGCCCCGATGAGAAAACATGCCTGAAATTAAAGTAACACCACTTGGTGAGTTCTTTAGCTCCACCGTATACATTAAGCTAGTTCTGTCAACAGCAACAATTTGACTACTTACTAAACAATTTTAGTGCTGCGTTAAGCGTCCGTCTCTCTGTAAAACAAAGCACATGGGTGTCCTGTTTATGCTGTTGTCCTCGGGGTTTTTTTTAACCGCTGTTTTAGAGACGTTTGTTAGCGTTAGCATCTCATTTTGAGTCTCTCAACTTCTTCGGAACTTTCGTGTCCCCTCTCCAAGGTGCTGGACAGGACGTGGGCCGCAGCTGCATCCTCGTCTCCATTGGAGGCAAAAACATAATGCTGGACTGTGGAATGCACATGGGATACAACGATGACGTGAGTGTGTAAACAACTGCCTACACAATGCATACAACCTAACTCAAGAACACTACCAAAGTAACAGCAGAAGTCTTCCTGTTGATATGTCTCTGGTAGGAATCAGTAATAGTCTTGTTTGTTGATATGATTTAAATGGTCAAAGCATCACCAGCCACTTTATGAGGCACACCTGTTCAATTGCATGTTAACAGAAATGGCTAATCACTCTATCAGATGTTACCAAATCAAGGCATTCAGGCATGTAGAGATGATCAAAACAACGTGCTGAAGTTCAGACCGAGCATTGAAATTACAAAGAATGGGGATTTAGGTGTATTTGAATGGGACATGGCTGTCGGTGCTAAATGGGCTGGTCTGAGTATTTGAAATATTGGAATTTTCCAAGACAATAATTTCTAGAGTTTACAGATAATGGTCTGGAAAAGAGAATATATCCAGTGAGGGGAAATCATGTAGGCAAATGGGCCCTGTTGATGTGAGAGGTCAGAGGAGAAGGGGCAGACTGGTTCCAGCTAATAGAAAAACGGTCATGGCAACTAAGAAATGCAGAACACCGTTTCTGAACACATAAGAAGTGCAACCTTAAAGAAGATGAACTACAACAGATAGGAATTAGAAACTGGTATTCCAATCTGAGATTTGCAGATGCATACCAAATTTGGCTCAGTTTAATTTGTGACACTCAGATGGAAATTAGAATTTGTTGTAAACAAAATGAAAGCAAGGATCCATCATGTCTTGTTGCTCATGAGTGTAGATTGCATAGATATTTGAACATTTTCCAGGCAATATTTAGAGCAAGCATATTTTGTCTGCCAAATTGCTCAATAAATTAAATATTATTTTTCTTTTTGCATAGTTAAATTTTTTTAAAGTAATGTGCAATTAACTTTGCCTTTTGTGCCAAATAACAACATTAATATTCAAGATTCAAAAAGCTTTTTTTATCCCAAGGGAAATTGCTGTGCAACACTTACAATACAAGTTGACAATAAATACAACTAAAGTAGTTTGCAATTATTAAAAGTGACCAGTGATAAAAAGTGATGAAGTGACAAGTGGAAAAGCAATAAGAAATAATGATTGATGATTAACTGACTTGAAATTAAACCACAAGTCAAAGCATAACTTAAATTAATTTATACAAACGTGTGGATTTGTCCATCTGTGTGTGAATGTAACTGTGTATCCACCCTATAACACACATAAACTTAAGTTGTGCTGTATGAGTGGATGTGTGTGTTTCTATAAATGTTTTTTGTAGTGTAAAATAGCTTTGAATCGTACTTTAGAAAAGCTCCATTATGTGACCGTCTGTTTAACGTATTCCTCTCTTGTTTGCACTGTACTGAAAATCCTTTTCTGTTTTGACTTTATTCACATGTGTTTCGGATCTTTGAAAGAAAATGATCTCTGCCATCAACATGACCCTTTATCTTTCCAGAGACGTTTTCCAGACTTTTCTTACGTAACGCAAAATGGCCGCCTGACAGACTTTTTGGACTGTGTGATCATTAGGTGTGTTGCCTGTTTCTTCTCAAATCTTTTCACGTTTTAAACAATATTTTCAGCTTTCATACATCAGCTGACCTACACCTCCTCTGTTCTCAGCCATTTTCACCTTGACCACTGCGGCGCTCTGCCCTACATGAGTGAGATGGTGGGCTACGATGGACCCATCTATATGACTCACCCCACCAAGGCCATCTGTCCCATTTTGCTGGAGGATTTCCGGAAGATCACCGTCGACAAGAAGGGAGAAACCAACTTCTTCACTTCTCAAATGATCAAGGATTGCATGAAGAAAGTGGTTCCTCTGAACCTGCACCAGACCGTCCAGGTGCTATTTCAGCATGTTTGAAGTGTTCAGTCCCACTTTTTATCTTATCAAATCTTTCTTCTTTTTTTTTTTCCTGAGCCAGCTGCTCGTCTCTTTTGATGGCGAATCAAGCTGTTTCTGTTCTGCTGCTGGCAGGTGGATGATGAGCTGGAGATCAAGGCGTACTATGCGGGCCACGTCCTGGGCGCTGCCATGGTGCACATCAAAGTGGGATCAGAGTCTGTAGTCTACACCGTAAGCGGGAAAAAGTCCGAACTCTGACACGGCTGGTGGTTTTAGCAACCGGCAGTCTCAGAATAAAATGTTTTTTCTCATTTTAGGGAGACTATAACATGACACCAGACCGACATCTAGGGTAAGTTCCACTTAGAGATGCAAGGATGGTAAATCGATAAGTTTAAATGAATCTGTAATGGTCTTGGGCCTTTGCTTTTGACATTATTTGTTATTTGATAAGATTCCATTGCACATTAAGTCACTTACTTTGGGTTTTGCCTGTTGAATAAATTTTCAGATCAATTAAACGATTAATTAAAATTTTGTTTTTTGTTTTTCCAAAAACTGGAAATTGTTTTGTTTTTTTGTTGTTGATCCAACATCCTTCTGCAATGTATCATATAATCCAAAAAGCTTTGATTAAATAGGTGTGTTACACTATGCCTTGCCTTGAGCCATGAGCATGTTGTTTGCAGTGCGGCTTGGATCGATAAGTGCAGACCGGACATCCTTATCTCAGAGTCCACATATGCCACCACCATCCGGGACTCAAAGAGGTGCAGAGAGAGGGACTTTCTGAAGAAGGTGCACGAAAGCATAGAGAGAGGAGGAAAGGTGGGGGCATATACTTGGCTTAATTCTGCATTTATAAGAGGAAATTCCTGTTTTCTTTTGTCTTGCTCATTAATGAACCATGTTTGATTCTTTTGTTTCAAACATTAATAAATCTTGTTGTATTGTTTCTAATCTTCCAGGTTCTCATACCGGTTTTTGCTCTCGGACGAGCGCAAGAGCTCTGCATCCTCCTGGAAACATTCTGGTAGAGTTTTTAAACAATCCTTTTCAAATCAGGGCGTCAAACGCACGGTACTGTGGAGATAATCATAGTCTATTTTCTCACTAATGGATCGAGATTAATGCTGTTTTCTGCCTTTTAGCTGTTTGCATTCTGTAAAAGCCTCATTGATTTTACTGGTCTTGCAAGTTGAATAGCACCATGCTGGGTTTTACAATATAAATGTACCTTCTCTGACTACACAGGGAGAGGATGAACCTGAAGGCCCCCATCTACTTCTCCACTGGGATGACGGAGAAAGCTAATCATTACTACAAGCTTTTCATAACGTGGACCAACCAGAAGATCAGAAAAACCTTTGTACAGAGAAACATGTTTGAATTTAAGCACATCAAGGCTTTTGATCGCTCCTACGCAGATAATCCTGGTCCAATGGTGAGTAGCCTCCCCCCCTTCAAAGTGCCAAACAGTTTTTCACTGGCGACTCAAACAGCAGGAAAACTTAAGATGTGGCCACTTTACAGGTGGTGTTCGCCACGCCGGGTATGCTGCACGCCGGCCAGTCTCTGCAGATATTCAAGAAATGGGCGGGGAATGAGAAGAACATGGTAGGTCCCGCTCAGCGTTTGATGCTTTCTCGAGCGACGGAAAAGACAAAAATAAATGAGAATCTTTTCTTAGGTAATCATGCCAGGATATTGTGTACAAGGAACAATTGGTCACAAGATCCTGAATGGACAAAGGAAGCTGGAGGTGGAAGGGAGGGCAACGGTAGGATTCCTCTTTGCTTCCATTCAAGATGATATGATATGTTTACGTGTTCTCAATCCTGGTATTTCTTATAGTTAAAGAAGACACATTGGCCATTTTTTGTAGTGTGTATATATATATATATATATATATATATATATATTGTGTGTGTGTGTGTGTGTGTGTGTGGTATAGATTGATTTACATGTTGTCAATCCTGCCATTGCTTATAGTTAAAGAAGAAACACTGCCCATTATATATATATATATATATATATATATATATATATATATATATATATTCAGTGTCTTGGCTGAAATAATGTGTGAATTCTCTTAAAAAGAAACCCCCCTACTCTGACATATGTGACACGCTGTTAACAGACGTGGCCTGTTCACGTAGCTCCATGTATGAAAGCCGATAAGCAAACTTTTGAAAAAAGAAGCATCTTTCAGCTGAGATGCGCGAAAAGAAAAAAAAAAACTCAGAAAAATGAGGCCATTGTTTTAGCTCTTTCTGTAAAAGCACCCCAACGGTGCCCCTGACTGTGTCTGTGCTTTTTGCAGCTGGAGGTGAAGCTGCAGGTGGAGTACATGTCCTTCAGCGCGCACGCCGACGCCAAAGGCATCATGCAGCTCATCCGCATGGCCGAGCCCCGCAACGTGCTGCTGGTGCACGGGGAAGCCCTCAAAATGGAGTTCCTCAAGGGCAAGATCGAGCAGGAGTTCAGTAAGTGACATTTCGAAAAAAAAAAAAAAAAGGACTTGGGCAGGTCTGCGCAGGATGGTGAGGGACTTTTTTTTGTCTTGTGTGTCTTTGAACGGTAGGCATCGACTGTCACATGCCAGCTAACGGAGAGACGATCACTGTGACGACAAACCCCAGCGTTCCCGTGGACATTTCACTCAACCTGCTGAAGAGGGAGATGGCTCTCGGAGGTATTTACTGACGTTTTGATTTCTCCTGCCTTATTTACACAGGTTAGTTTGGATGTTTTACAGCTGCTACCTTCGTACAAATTTCTACAAAAGGACAAGAAAAAGCATAGTGGTGTCTGTAGGGATCTTTCAGCTCTTCTTTATCGACTTCCAAACACTTCTTTTGCATGGAAATCTACTTTGAATCACAGCTTTTCCTGATATTTTGCACACAGACATGGTGATTCACCTCAAATTCTCTTAAAAATGAATGCCGCATAGCAGAAAAATATAGTAGAACAATGCCCGTTAGCATGGCAACATTACATATTTATCAGTTATAATAATTTTTACACTAAATGTGTCAGATTTCCTATTTTAAACTTAGGTCTTATATATTGTTTTTATTTGAAGACGTGTGCCCAGGTGGTTAAATGAGTACCTGAGTAGATTTTTTTTACTAAGTGCTTTTTTTTGTTCTGACTCATATTTTCCATGAATACCTTTTACTCTATTCAAAAGTAATAATACTCTTAAAAATCTTTTGGAACTTCTACCCACTTTGTGTGTGTGTGTGTGTTTCCCCCTTTTCTTGTTGATTTCTTGTGATTAACTTTTTGCCTTTGATGTTGCAGGAACTCTGCCAGATCCCAAAAGACCCCGCTCCATGCACGGAACCCTGATCATGAAAGAAAATGTAAGCTTGCTTCTCCGAATGAGTTTGTCCAAAGTTTCTGACTCACTTTGCTATTGAATTTCTTCTCTTCTTCACTTGAGGGCAGCCTAAATAAGAATTTTTCCCATATAAAGTTGAGCCTCTTGGACAGCTGAAGGAGCCCTGTGTACCGCAGCGTTATTCTCCAGTATGTCTCCCTGGTAACGGCTTCATTTGTGCTGTCCCTGCTGTTTGTCTGAGCACAGAGCCTGAAGTTGGTGTCGTCGGAGCAGGCCCTGAAGGAGCTCGGCCTGAACGAGCACCAGCTACGCTTCACCTGCCGCGTGCAGCTCCAGGACCCGCACAGCGACCCCGACACACTCCACCGAATCTACACACACCTCAAGAGGTGTGTATGGATGCATGCTAATGCATGCTAAGGAGAATGACAATTTCGTTCAAGAAAACTGTGTAATTTCTGGCATATTAATGCATGTTAATATCTAATGGGACATCTTCTTTTCAGTGTGTTGAAAGGTTACACCATCCAGCACCTCCCCGATGGCACAGTCATGGTAGAGTCCATTGTCATCAAAGTGTCCTCCTCCGCCGAAGACACCAACGCCAAGGTTCTGCTGCTCTCCTGGAGTTACCAGGTAGAGCGGGGTCGTTTCAGTTCATTCCACCACTAAGCGTTCTCTGATCGGATCTAACATTACAGCAAAATCCATTTTTTTATGCTAATGCAACCTAAACACGACAAAGTTTCATCTTTCCTTTCTTACATTTTCACAACATTGAAGACGTTTTGTGGGAGAATACCAATTTTTCAAATTACCATTGTCCTTGTAGGAAAACATTCGTTTTTTTGTTTTTCCAAAGAAGCTTACCTTAAAGACAATTAAAGTTAATATCTGGTCCTCTGTGTCCTTTCAAGAGTATTTAATGTATTTGACTGCTTCCGTTCAGAGGTGGTTGTGGAGATTTTCCTTCTCTGGTAAGCCATTAAACAAAGTGGGCGTGGAGGAACCTCTGTATGAAGCGTACAGAAGTTTTTTTTATAGTTTGGTAGTAGGAGGTATGGAATAGACCCACCACCAGATTAGACACAATTTCCATAATTTTTTTTTTTTCAAGAAATCTCCAAAGATTAAAGATACGACAGGACAATGATCTTTTTATTATTTTTAGATAATAATTTTTAGATAGTTCTTTGCATGAACTACAGATGATCCTTTATGAAATGAAAACAAACAAAGTGTGTGACTTGCTATGGCATTCACTTGTTTGTTTTTAGTTATTTATGTTTTTAGTTTTACAGAACTCCCATTTGGTGTCCGTTTCCTCTGTCACTAACCCAAACCCTTACACATAAACAATGTCATGACATCTTTTTTCTCTATTTGTTAGACAAGAGCAGATTCTTTGTAAAATGTACACTCCGTACCACCTGTATCCCTACGCGTCCACAATAGCAAGGTTTAGCGCAAAGCAACACCCACACACACAAATTCTCATTCAGCCACACGCAGACAGGATGAGAGCTATAAGAATCCCAGAGTGAATTATGGATTTCCATTCACACATGCCGGCACTCCAGATAATCTCAAGAGCATTGAAAGATTCCTTTGAGTGAGTGAAAAGGGCTTCAGATTGGAGCAGTAGGGGCCCCAGATCTGCAGATCTGCCTCTGCCCCCATGATTGTCAGACCTTAAACAATGAGGAGTAAAAAGCACTGTGTAGGTGGATGCTTTTAAAGGGAAAGTTTGGCCAAAGGCAGAGGTTGGGTGTGGGGGGGGGGTTTCAGTGGTTACATGAGCTCAGGCAAGTACCCAGAAACAGAACACGTGTTTTTTCCACCCACAAAAAAATAGTTTGCCACTCACTCTGAGTGACGTTTTTATTAAGAGACTCAAACTGTGTTGGTTTCTACCAGAATATATAAAACAGTTATTTTCACCGTAAAATATTAAGATTGATATTTGAACATCCTTAAAGTCAGTTGAAGCAGATTAAAGCAGAAATGAAACCAGTTTTAAACAATGTTTTGTTTTAGGTTGATGCTGCTTTTTAACTTGATTTTCTTTATTTGTTTTGTTTTTCTTCTGGTTAGGATGAAGACCTGGGGAGCTTCCTCTCATCCCTGCTGAAAAAGGGGCTTCCGTCTGGTCTCTGCTGAAATATTTATCCCAAAACATCCCTGTCCTGTATCCCTAACAACAACAGGCCTAAATCTACTCCTTGTTCCCTGATATGAGCTGTCCTCGTTGGCCAGTTCGTCATAGGGGATATTTTCATGGACTAATTTATAGAAACAAAAAAAAAACATATTTCCGATTTATTGCTTTAATTATGAACAAACAAGACAAATAAACACTTTTACAGAAAAGCTTCTTTTGGCAGTTCTTCGCGCAGCATTTCCAGATGTGAGCATCTCAGGACACCGTTATGGCGTAGACGCCCCGCCTCCTGCTGACCACTCCCCACAGCCACGTCCTCTTCAGGCCCGTCCACCTGAAGTGGCTGGTGGTCACGTAGTACAGCACGGGGTCCAGGCAGGTGTTGAGGGTGACCAGCGCCATGGTGACGCGGCGGGCCTGGAAGATGGCGTCCCGCGCCGAGCAGCTCCGGATGACGTCCAGCCGCTGGAGCAGGTGCAGCAGGTACACCAGGTGGTTGGGGAGGAAGCAAAGCAGCGTGATGGCGATGATGGCGCCGATCGCCCGCACGGCCTTCCGCGCCGTCTGGGTCCTGATCGCGGCGATGCGCCTGGCCGCCAGCGGGTAGCAGACCAGGATGATCAGGGAGGGCACCAGGGACCCGAAGACCAGGCTCAGGATGCTGAACGGCCGCAGGCGCTTCTCCCACTCGGCCTTGGCGAAGTTCTCGAAGCAGCTGTGGCCCAGGGACTCGTCCCCGACGGTCAGCGGGCCCATCAGGACGAAGACCAGGATGGCCACGCCGGCGGCGGCCCAGAGCAGCGCGCTGACCGCCAGCGCGTAGCGGGGGCCCCGCAGCCTCAGGTAGGCGTGCGGGCGCACGGTGGCCAGGTAGCGGTCCAGGCAGATGCAGGTCATGAAGCAGATGCTCATGTAGATGTTGGCGAAGTACAGCGTGCCCGTCAGGAGGCAGGCCGAGTCCCCGAAGACCCAGTTGTTGCGGTTCAGGTGGTAGTGGATCCGGAAGGGCAGCGTGCACAGGATGCCCAGGTCGGCCACGGCCAGGCTGCTGATGTAGACGCTGAAGGCCGTGCGGGGGCGGGTCCTGACGGCGAACACGTAGAGCGCCGCCAGGTTCCCCGGCAGGCCAAAAAGCAGCGCCAGGACGTAGACGGCAGGGAAGAGGTGGTACTGGAACTCCGCTAACGGGTCGGTGCAGTTCGTCGCATTCGCCATAGCAGACACAGGCGAGTTATTTTTGTTTTTTTCTTCTTCTTTTTTCTTGTTTTTGTTTCTTTTTACAGCGTCGGCTCAAAGAAAGAAAGCGTAGGCTGGTTCTCAAAGCATCTCAGGACGGCTCCTGTAAGTGTTAGCGAGAGAAAATGTTTCCACTCAGTTTATTCCACCTTGACATTCAAACCGTCTCCCGCCTGACCCGTTACTGTAGCCCATCTGTGATCACTTCAGCCCACATTTCTCAAAGCAAAGGGGATGTAAAACATTCTCATTGTGGTCTATTGAGGAATTAACTATAAAGTATGAAGTGAAACAAGCAGGAAAGCACCGGCTGAATAAAGCCAACAAATGTGCTGTGCGCATTTCTAAACCGAGTCTAATTGAGAGTATTTTATTATTTTCTACTCCTACATGACCTCAATAATTTTGAATCCAAAGTACCGAATGAGTTTTAAGACTATTTCTAGATTTCAGCCGCATTTTGATAAGGACAGTATTTTTTCATTTAAAAGATACATTTGTCTGTCTACATGTGAGTTTAAATTATCTGAAAAAAGAGTGTGGAATTCTCTTACCTAGATCTTTATGGGTCCTTTTGCTGGATCTCCAAGAGCAGAGAGCAGCCTCCCGGTTAGAAATGTGAGCAGAGCAGCTGCTCTCTCAGACTACAGTGAGACAGAAACATGCTGCACTTTCTTCTGGCGTATTTCCTGTTTCGGTGCAAAGGTGTAGAATGAAGCGCAGGAAACCATTTATATATACTGTATGCTTTTTTTTTTATCACCCACCCACTGCAGCATATTGAGACGTGTGTGTGTTTATTTCTTATTTATTGTAGTATTCATTAGACTTTTTTAACCATTTTATTTCAAATATAATAATGCTCATTTGTGGGAACATTTTCACAAGTACACAATTAATTGGAACACAATAAAAATGTGCTTTCATTAATGGAAATGCAGGGTTAAATCAAAGAGATAAAAAGGATCCAATGATCTTGAAAGTCAATACTTCTTCTTACAATCTTTATTCTTGAAATACACTCTTCTATTACATCTTTATCGACAGACTTTCATGCCATTTCTTAAAGTAGTCATCAGTGAAAGTCTTCAAGTATATTGGAAGGGCATCCAAAAGCTCCTTTTTATTTAATTTGCTGTCAAGAAACTGTTTCAATAACCTGGAGATCTGGGCTCTTGGGAAGATTCATCCCTCCATAAAACATGCAACCACTCAATTTCAGTCCTTTATAAAAAAAAAATTATTTGGCACCTCAGCCTCTTCTTCCCGTCTCCTTCCTGAGCCACCTTTCCACAAAGACAATTTCTGATAAGAATTTGGCAAACAGAAAGTAGATGAACTGCTGCGCTAGATTTCTCTTTCAGGGCCTGTTCTGCATCCCTGATTTAATGTGTTGTATTATGCTGATAATGTACCTAGTTCATAAGTGTAGGTGATGTTCCTTGTCCTCATCAGTGCCTTCAAAACCAAGTGGCCTGTCATACTGAGAGACAAGCCTCTAGGTATTGGGGCAGCTCCCCTCAATTGCAGGACCAAAAAGAACTGTCTCCCCCTGCACATCACCAATACCAATGAGTTGGTGGTGGACTTTAGGAGATCTAAAACTCCATCCAGTCGGTCTGCGTTGATGGAGAGGACAGTGTTAGTAAATGATACACTGGAGGGATCTGGCAATATAGAATCCACATACAGGGAGGCATAGTTTGAACAAGCATAGTTTGTTATATATATTTTAATGTATTATGCACTGATAGTGAAGAGAAATGATTGATTCTATTGTTTTTGCCTTTTTGTTTCCAATTTCAGAATGCCAACACTCGCCCAACGGATCGACTCCAGACGTTGCCCTAAGGGGGACATTCAGAAGAAGGTTCGCCGTTCAAATCTCTTGGAGTTTTCAATGTATAATACACTTACATTTATGCCTTCTTTTTTATGCTCCTACTGAAGATCAGAGTGAAGACACTGATGAATAATGAGGAGGAGGAGGGAAGCGACCCAGTTATTTGAGAGGTATGTGGACGCAGTGAATTACAGTGTGACTCAGGGTAGAGTAATAATGTTAGACAGATCCCTTCTTTGTTCAAGATGGACGCCCCACCGTCCCTCTCTGATGCTTTACACTTGTTTTAACCTGATGCCATCAGAATCAGAGGAATTCATGACCAACAGAATGCGATAGTAACAAAAATCTGGAAATTTCTCAATACAGATGTGGAAATGATTCCGTGTTGGACTGATTCCGCTTCCTAACACCCCGAGGGAAAGCATGGCTAAAAAAAGCAAGCAGAAGATATGACATGTTTCATGTTTCTTGGGGGACTGGACTAATAAATGCAGAAACCATTCAGAATAGTTCTCTCATGGGAAATCATAGGAAGGTAACTCCCTGTAACCTTTTCCTGTCCCTGCATGTTGCAGCACTTTTATTGTGGTTTCACGGCTGCGTAGTCTGGAAATGAGCGGCTCCTTTACACTTTTGTTTCAAAACTCCCCCCCTGTACAGAGAGTTCCATGCTGGAGATGTTATCAGTGATGGACAACTAACAGATAGATCTCCTGGCCGAAGTAGATCAAACTACAAAATAATGTTAAAAACAAAGCAAAAAAAAAGAGAACATATGTCAATACAAAATTAGTAGCAATAAAACTTTAAACTCACACAACTGGTGTAACAAAAATAATGTAAAAAATAAAGTAAACCCTATTAAAAGAGACAGAATGTCATTACAAATAACTAGCAATAAAACTCTACACTCACACAACTGACATAACAAAATGAGACAAAGGGGAGAATGAAATCGAAAAAATAGACAAGGCCGTGGCACAGAGCCTGAGAAACAAGTAATCTATTGTTCATCCACCTTCTTTTTGGCGAACTCTTAACAGAAATTGTCTCTATTGAAGGACAGCTGTAAAGTAACCATTTTAAGGAAGGAAACAGAGAGGAAAAGCTGAGATATGCAAAGTAAATATGAGCTCAACAATATTGAAACTAGAGTGTGTGATGGGAGGATGTAGTTGAACAAATAATATTGACTTTGAAGCTCTTTTGAAACAATATTATCTCATTGCTTTGAATACCACATTTCCAATTTTGAAAGTACATTTTTCAATAGCGTGTGGTCCTTTGTCATGCCAGTATCTGAAAAATATTCCCTCAAATGAGCATTTTTATTCCTTTAAAGCAAAAGTTTGTTCTACTTTTGTAGGCGTCCTACGCCTTTTAAGATAATGCAATTTATGAAAAATAAATTATTTGTAATTATATCACATTAAAAATAGGCAGGCACATCTCAGTATGCCGCAGTGATAAAAAACAAAACAAAATGGGGAGGGAGGTAGAAAAACATACCAAACAAATATCACTAAACCCATTTTCCCTATGATGTAGCACATTCAGGCCTGATTTGAATGCTCTCATTAAACGTATAAATTTAAACTAATGGCCCCGTGTAGCTCGTTTAAATGTTTCAAGACGTGCTCAGAACACTCCGATAATTCTAGTTTGATAATTAAAAGAGAAGTTCATGAGCAATCGGCAGCTAGAGACCTTTTTAAAAGAAGAGTTTTTAAACTGAATATTTAACGCTAAAACCATGGCACGATTTTAAATCTACCCGTTATGCTAAAAACCAAGTTTTAAGACAAAACTATTTATGACCGATGCAAACATCAATATGGCTCCGTGTCAACAGGAGGAAACCCCACATGTTGGTGTGTAATGGATGCCATTCATTTTGAGATAATAATCCTCTTTGGAATATAAAGATGCTCTTACATGCAGTCACCTAAAAGCAAATAAAATCATAATATCTGACACGAAGTAACAATAATTCAAATTTGGACTACATTTCTAGGTGTTAAAACAACAGCTGAGGTTCTTTTGAGCAGGTTTATAACATCACATTTCTAAAATACTGTACTTTTCAATATGGCTTTTATGAGTTTGTAGTCTAAAGGTCAAGAATTGACTAAATTAGAAGAAAACAGCAGTGAACAAACTGCAAACGGGTATTTCTAAGGTGACTAATTGCAAACATGCCTCTGTCTTCTCTTGCATTGAGCTAAGAGAATTTCAGACACTCATGAAGACGCGACGGCGTCTGCGGTATGGTAAATGTACAGATTATGCAGAACATAACCAGTCTTGGTAAGAGCAGCGATGTGGTATTTAACAACACTTCCTGCTCCCCCGGGTGTGCTGTAGTTTTGTTTGTGGTTAGCCTTTGGAAGAGTTTCTCTGCCTCGAGGGGTTTGTGCTTTTTTTGGTCTCTAGCTTCTTTTTGCATTGGTTTCATGTGATTTCAGCTGCACCTGAAGCAGTTCAGAGGCCCGTTGGCATTTCCGAGCTGACGCAGAGGCACCTTTAGACGTCTGTTTATGTTTTCAGTTTGCCTTTTGATACTCAGTATAGTTACTGTGCAAGACTGAGGTGAGCTCTGCACAATCATATTGTTGGCATACGATGCTTAACAAAATTCTAAGACCACAAGAAGAGCATATATTTGAAAAAAGCATTCAAAAGAGTGTTTAAAACAAAAACAGAACTGTTTGGTTACAAACACAGTAAACCGAAATCCTTTATTTTGAAAAGGCCTCATTTCATCCTGACAACAGCTTCCATTCTTCCTCATAGTTTCTATCCTTTTTCTTGTTATTAATTCAAACATGGTTTCTATCTGTGCCCACAGACTTACTTTGGATAAAGCTTTTGTGTGATCAGTTTTCCTCTAAATCCCACGTGGACTCTGACTGGGTTCCTCCATCAATTTCAGAACACGAGACGTTCCTGGATGTTTGCAGGCCTCAGTAATGACGTTCCAGCAGCTATGGTTTCATCTAAGCCCTCTTACATCAGCTTCTGCTAATTCCGGAAGGCTTCTCAAACTGATCAAGAAGCATTCATTTTTGCCTGAAAATCAGCAGTTGTCTTCCCTCAGCCCGTTTCTTCAGATTTTGAGGTGTGTGCCAGCAGCTTAAGTTAACTTAAGTCCAGCCAACTTTCTGGGCTTCTTTTCTTTTTCGTATTTTGTTAAAGAGCAAAATAACAATTTCAGACCAAAAAAATATTAATTTCTCTCTTTTTTTGTCTTTTTTTTCCCGTAGTTTTCCAGCACATACCTACAGTACATACCTGTTACGGGCATTAGGGCCTGCAGTTGGGACTCAGGAATCTGTAAATCACAGCAGTGCAGCTTCACTGAGTAAGTACCAAGTTTTCAATTTTGATTCTTTTTCTCTCTTCAAATGTAATAATTTTTAAAACGTAGGAGACGAGGATTGCAGCGAAGCGTGCAGGTTGAAAGTCAATACGTGCAAGTATCAAAGATGACCACAAGGTGGCAGCATTGGAGAATATGTGCACAAAGACCACTTTGAAGTTTTTTCAAAGTGAGCTATCTTTTTGTTGTCAAGTGACCTGTTTGTTGTTTTTGTTTTGTTTACACTTTTACCATTGATAATAAAACCTAAAAAAGAGAAACCACAAAAAGTGTCTCTCTCTTTGCTCACCTTTAGCTAGCTTTTTTAAAATGTTTTAGTTTTTGTTAGTTTAACCTCAATCCGCTTTGCATTAAGATGCAAGAAACAGGTTTGATTAAAGAAAAAAAAAACTTCCACTATGAAAGTATTTAAAAAGAAAAGAATAGTTTATCGAAGTTAGATAATAGATTTTTTTAGAAATACAAAAGCACTTTAAGAAGGAGGCTCGTACTCCTACTCATTGCTAGATAATCTGGAAGAAAAAATATTCGTTTCTTTATTTTGATGACAGAAATACTAGAAATGCTTTTAGCTCTGGACTTTCAAGTGGTTCTTCCTCTGTAGAAATGGGTCCTCATGCACTGTACATAAAACCAACTGCCACAAAACTCATTGTGGCAGTCATTATTTTAATGAGCAGATCAATCGAGTGATAAAATACACTGCATATCAGCAGAGCTAGCTGGAAAAGGTTGAAGAAATTCCATTTAAACAGGACTTTGAACATGCATTTTTCACAATAGGCCTGGATTACTGTAACTCTTATTGTACTTTGGTGTCTCCCAGAGATCCACGTTTATTCTCCAGCTGCACGCCTTTTCACTGATGTAACGAAGAGAGAGCACCCTAATTCCATTTTAGCCTCAAGGTAATTTTATTTAATTAGTTTTTAAAGCTTCAAATGTTCTTGCCCCACCTTGCAGGTTGAAAGTCAGGGGGGACAGAGCTTTTTCTGTAGCAACGTCCAGGCTTTGGAGCTGCCACTGATCGCTTCATTTTCCTTCAATCCATTTATTATACGACTAATTCCTGATGGGGTCATCAGTTTAGAGGGGCTGGAGCTTATCCCAGATGTAATTTGGCGAGAGAGAGCGTACTCAGACAGGTTGCCAGTCCATCACAGGGCCAGGCAGCGAAGCACAACCACCACTCGCTCACTTTTGAAGGCAATTTAGAGTCTTCAATTAACGTATTGGGCCTGTTTTTGGACTGTAGTATGAAGGCTTTTTTTTGTTGGTATTTTTGAATCTGTAAAAAAAAAAAAAAGATTTTTCATTAATCTTCTAGCCAGCCTAAGAGAGATGATTCAATTAGCTTTACTTAATCTCACATCATTGCAGATGGTCAAACACAAAGTGGCACATCAGGTTTTCAACTTCCCCAAAAGGAAACATGTTACCAGCCCTCTTTATTGAGCAAGAGTGGCTACCTGTAGCTGCTTGGGTCAAATATAAATCACTGATGCTGCCCACAAAGTTATTTCTGGCTCTGTGCCCGCCTACCTTTCCTTTTCCAAGAGCAAATCCTTTGATAACAAAGCCAACCACTAACCACTCATAGCTTTTACTTCCTTCTCCTCTCATGTCCTCCCAGTTTTCTTTCATTTCTGTTCCCCAAACCAACTTTACCATCTTTTTTTTTGTGTTTCTCACCGTATCGGTGTAATTAGTTTTGGATAAAAGCGTCTGCTAAATGAATGAAAGTAAGTGGAAATCAGGAGATAATTAAAAATTGGAACAAATAGGCCTCTGCCGTCAAGACTAACTGTTTAACAGAGCCACGGAGGCATTGTCACAGAGTTGGTGAAACACTTACAATGGGCCTATGTAAAGATGGAGGAACCTTTGAGAAGGACTGCATGTAGAATATGGACTGAGTAAAAACGCTCAGCGGAGACCCTTAATACTGAATGGGTTTAGAGGGCTTGAAAATATTGTCTGATGGGATAAAAACACAATTCTTTTGGGCAGTATTCCAAGCAGCTATCCCCTAGAAGAGCTACGAGGGGACCCAGGATTCTGTATCAGGGCTTTGCAGAGGACTTTTAACATGTTTAGCCGCCATCATAGTTTCCTCTGCATGGTACTTCTGGTCAATTGGCTGCAGATATTTGGCTTTAAACATAAAAACCAGTCTCTGAATCATATTAGATTTGAGAATTGGAGCCGAGAGATATTGACAATCTCTCCTTACATTTGAAACCGCCAAAAAAATTCAACCTACAAGCCAAGTCAACCTGACTGTAGCTTGACGATGTAAATCAAGAGATCATCAAAGTCCCCTTGGATTTTCTCTCCAGGGGATTTTTCTGTGCTCTGTAAGCTGCTATATAAAGCCAGCGTGAGTAACCAGTGGTGAGATCCTCAACCTTTGGAAGAGGGATGCGGACAGACGGAGTTGCCTAACTACCACTGTGACCTATTTGACCCAAAAAATGGCCGATGGAGTCTGTCTTGATCTGAAGCGTCCTCTTTGGCCAGCGGAGGCGTGTCCGGACAGCACAGATCCATCGCCTAGCAACGGCAGCCTCCGCGTTCTCTTTCAGATACACTCACATCTGGCCATTCCAGCCTTTGATGTCCTCACAGCAGCATGTGGTTCAGAAAGTGAATAGAAAATCAACCAATTTAGGAGGAAGCCTCGGAAAAAAAAACAAAAAACAGTCCTGTAAGGTCTGGAAAACGTGCCTTTTTTATGGGTGATTCCTCATGATAAATTCACTGTACCAAACTGTGTGAATATATATTTTCATACAGTACATTCGTGCTCGGTTGATCTGTGTGTGTGTGTGTGTTGTGCTTCAGTGGGTGTGGACTGAGACGCCTGCAGCTCTTCCTGCCCTACTTTCCCCCCCTAAAAACAACGTGTAGAGAAAAAAACAAAGGTTCACCATCGCCGTCCATTTCTGTTTACCCAGCGGAACTTAAGAGGCGCTCAAACAGAGCCGCTCTCCGGCTAGAGAAATGCTCACGGTGTGGCTTTTTATGACCCGTATTACAAAAATGTCGGGACAAACAGCATTTCAGACTGATACACTAATCGCAAAAGAGGACTAGAAACATGCCAAATGTAAAAAAAGGGAGCACACACAGATAAAAGGATACAATTCTTTTGGGTAACTATTATATTGTGCAGAGCATTGGCTTCAAGAAGACATGGAAAGCACTTTTAAATCTTCTGTCTTGGATGTTTGGACTAGAATAAGACATATGGAGTATTCTGGTATATTAAAAGAATGATTTCTGGGTAAACTTTTAAATGTATTGAGTTTGAATGTTTCGTTGACGTGTCTATTGTAACATTTCTTTTTCATCCATGCACATCTTTTGTGTAGAAATATGTCTGTGTGGCATCAATGTAAGAGAGACTTTATTTATTACGCCAAGAGTAGCAAATCCTTTCCTGAGATGTGTGGAAAGGTCACAGTGCCAGTGCCCAACAACCAAGGCGTTAAATCACAAGCCCGATCAGTTGTAGTTAATTCCTTTATAGAGATGTTTGTCATTGTTACTGTATTTTTCCCCTTTATGTTATCTGTTTTCTGCAATGCACCGTAGCCGTCCCACTTTCCTGGTGATCTAAAAAAAAAATCAAGTATCAGGTGAATCAATTTAATGGAAAATATAAGCATGCTTTGAATTCTATCACTGGTTTAAATAACTGATTTCCTACAGAACCAGCAGGTTTGATATGATCGTTTCAGATGCAAAATAGTTTGACCGTGGAGAATAAGAAGCAGCTGACTTTGCTCCTCTAGATGCTTAAACCATTTGCTGACTACAGCCTGAGCAGGGAAGCCAAGACGTGTCTGAGCATGAGAACTGTCAGATTGGGTTTGGATGTCTCCACCCTTAAGTATCCTAGCAGGGATTCCGGCCGCCAACGGGCTGTGAATCCTGTACCAGAATGTGCCAGAACTTTGCCTGACAGTGTGCGATCGTATGAATACAAGCGATATTATAAAGTCCTTTGAAGAGCAGCTGGTATTTATGTTGGAGCTTTAAAAAAAAAAAAAAAGAACTCATGTACAGTAGATGAACAGGTCAGAGTAGTCGACCCGTGTTCCATCCTCCCTTTATGCTCTGTCTCATTTCCTCTGAATGTTTCATACGGCGGCAGCTGACTCAGTGAAACTGCCTTCCTGAGACGTACTTTCCTTTTGTTTTCTCTTCAGACTTTCCACCCCTGACCATCCACTCACCCTTTTCATCCTTTACGCGACCTTGTTGCCGTTCGTAAAAACAGTGACAGCTCATTCCAGACAATGGGGACGGAAAACCCTTGAAAGGATTTGGACAGAAAACCTTGTGGCAAAAAAAGGGATAAGAGGACCCATCTTTTTATCATTTGCTGAGCCTAAACTGTAATACAAGCCTTTATGTTCTGGTGTCTGAGTGTCTTTTTTCTGTGTGTTTTCTTGTAGGTTGAGACAGCGTAGTTGACCTGATCCTCTAACCCCTTCACACCCAAGAGTGACTGGAAGCCTGCTCTCTTTTCTAGCTAATGCGCATTGACGGGACCGTTAAATAAGTCAGCAGAAGTCCTAAAGTGAGTGCAAACAGCTTCTGGCAAAGTCAGTCTCAGACTCAGAGGAGGTCAGATGTCAAGCGCCGTTGAGGTCTGTCCCAGTATGCAAAGTATGATTTATTCAAATGTGTATCGTAGAGTAAGTTCAGTGGTTACGGATTTATTTTTTGCGGGAAGAAAAAGTCAAGTTCACTCGCGACCCCAATTTACTGCCTTAGCATTTGTCATCGAAGATGTGGGCACATCCTGAAATACGAAGGTTTTCTCATGAGATGACCATCTGGGAACTGCTTAAGACACTGGAAAAATCTTTAACTGATACAGAACATCCTTGGACACTGCATTACATTACTTTACATTAGATTCAACATTTAAGTTTTCAATTGCATTTTCCTAAATAATATGTTTTTCTCTTTCTTAGTTCAGTTTTGATTTATCACTGAATTCACTAAATCCTTTCATTTTCAACCTTTCCATTTAATTATTGACCTTTTTCTCTTGTTCATCTCATTCTCATTCAACTTTACTAAGCTCAATTTATTTTTACATTTGATGGCCGTAATACGCCATGAAGAACTAAAAAATACTCAGATTTTTTTTTACCCTAATTTGAATCTAACTAAATAGCTTGTTTTCAGCACATTAAAGTGGTGTTTACCAGTAATGTCTTTGGACTTAACACATGCTAAATGGCTTTAACACAATGTGGCGTGCTAAAATAAGGTAATATCGATTAAGCAAATGATCCCAATCAAGCAGGCATCCAAACTCTCAAGCTTTCGGGAATTGTCCCAATATGCAAGCATGTTATACATTAAAATAAAAAAACAAAACTACACTGTATTAGGCTGTATGTTAATGAGTGTGGTGCTATGATTTCTTTAGTAAGTCTTGAAGATGATCAGCCTTCCAGACATGCATGCATGGATGGTCCTATGTTTCATGCTATGTTATGTTTTGTACATTGGGTTGAGTGTCCTGAAATGTGTTATATGAATAAGGTTTATTGGACACAGCTCCTTTAGATGACAAGAATGCCTCGGTTCTGTATCAGCTAAAACAACAGATGACTCATATTTACCCTATCGCCAGGAGAGTAATACTCATGTTTTCAATTACATCTTGGCAAAACGGGCGTATTGGATAAAAAGTTTCTCACGCACCAGTCGTACAGAAATGCTAATAAGAGGAAAGCAGTTTAGGTGAAAGATTTTAAACGAACGCCTCTTGGAATCTGAGCGGAGAACACACGCATGCATAATGCAAATGGCCCATGTGTCCTCCGTACATGCCTCGTTGGCAGTGGGTTGTAGTGCCTTGCACCTGCAGTCAGAGGGGATAACATTACAAGCTGTAAATTCGCAGCACTCTCTCTCTCTTACTCTCGCAGACCAGAGAAAGAAAAGGAGCAAAAGTAGGTCAGCATCCCGGAGACCCACATCTCTCCCAGTGATTAAGTCTGTCACGGGAGAGCCTCTCATGGAGGCAAATATGGGACGTGACAGCTCCCTTCCTCTTTCCGCAAAGAGAGAAGAAGGCGAATCGTATTCCCACTCCCGGTACACGCCACTCAGTGTTAATCACAAAGGCGGCGGGGAACATACAGTTTGTAGTTTGCACTGGACCGACCGTTTGGAGTGCATCCGGAATTTGACCTGCTTTAAAAAGTCATTGGAATGATCTAGAGGAAGAAAGAGTTATTCACTGTTTTTTAAAGATGAATCGCTGTCCAGTCTGAATTACAAACAGGGTTTGCAGATTGCTTTCTAACCCTAAGTTTAGCTTTTGCCATTGACATCCATTTTATTATTTTTTATTGTAGCAAGTACAGTGGAAGGATTACACCAAACTGAAGGAGTTCTTTGTCACTTTGGGATAGATAGATAGATAGATAGATAGATAGATAGATAGATAGATAGATAGAT